CACCTGCTCTGTGCCTGGCCTGGGTTCCTCTCTTTATCCTGATGGGGAGGCAACACTGCTTGGTCCGTGCTGTGATGGAGACAGTAGGAGAAAGGGGAGGAGAAGAGGCAGGGCCAGGTGCGGGGGATTTTACAACAGAACAGAGCTGAAGCGAGAAGATGCTCTGAGGATCCCGTGTAATTCGGAGCCGTGAGAACAGCTGTTGGACTTGCAGTGGCTGGATCTCGAGCCTGACAGCAGTGGAGAGCCATTCAATGGTCTCGAGCAAGGGACATGCCTGGTAGGACTACTCTTTAGAAAGGGGCAGAGTGCCACAAGGAGACCTGTGGTGGGGGCAGCATTATGGAGATCTGATTAGGCCTCCCGGGGAGGCAAGGCGTAGCAAGTGGCTGTGGTTGAGGGTTTTGTTTTAATGGAGCCTGAGAGTGGCCAGTAGATTGTGGGGACCTGAGGCCAGGCTGTGGAAATATGTACAGTGAGAAATACAGGGGCCAGCGTGGGCAGGCAGTGGGCTGAACCACGCATTTAAGGAGTTGGGATCACTGGGACTTGGCTATTTGTACCGTGGAGGAAATGGAGGAGAGGCTGTTGTCAGGTTGCCTAGCAGCAACGTGGATCATGAGAGCTTTGATTGGCTCTCCATCTAGGTGACACTGGGCAGCCTTTTGCTTCGTGTCTTTTCTCTCACTGTAGAGGGTTTGGACAAGGTAGCTTCTTCTTCTCCAACCCGATAGGTCTGTGATATGACACTGGCCAGGACGGGAACCCAAGCCCATGGATGGCATAGTCAGCTGGGGCCTAGGTCAGGACTCAAATCTGGCCAGGTTTGGGGTGGCCTGGAGCCAGTGCCTGGCATAGCTGCAGTCTGGGAAGGTCTGTCTCTGACCTCCACATGCCCGCCCTCCCTGTCCGCTATCTTGGCCCTGCCTGCCTGGCCCTGACTTCATCCCAGACTTCTGCTCTCCTGGGAGGAGTGGCTGTACTTTCGAGTCCCCATTGGCTGAAGCTTGCCTGCTGCACACACCCCTGCCTCCTGCTGGCTGCCTTCCCATCTTGGCTGCTGGGATTGAGCCCAGGGAGAGAGTGGAGTCTGAGACACTTATGCGATAGCAATTGGAGGCCCTGATCTTGTTGCCTGGGCGTCTGTAAGGTTCTAAGAACTCCCCACCATGAAAATGGGGTAGGGAAATGGAGCCTACCTGCCTCCTCCCTGTGGTCCCACGTCCAGAACATTAAGTCCCTTGTATCAACATCCATGCAGACCCCCAGTGCACAGTTAGGCTGGAGAGGCTTTTGGCAGTGGTTTCCATGGCGATGGATCCTGCTGCTTGAGTGTGGCAGCCATCAGGCAGCCTTTGAGAGCCTGAAAGGTGGGTAACTGTCTGTGTGGACTCCCACCCAGGCCGAGAGTTCCTAGGTCTGCTGCCCTCTTCTCCCCTTGGGGCCTAGTGCTGCTTTGCACCCAGGTACTCTTGGGAGAGGCGCAGCAGTTGAACAGGCCTGGTTCATCTCTGTCGTGCTAGGCTAGGAGTCATAGGCTTTGAACGAGTTACCTTGGGAAGTTTTGAGTTTATCAGGTTCGCTCCAGGACCTTAATGAGAGACTGTGGCCCAAGAGCCAGCTCTGTCCTCATCCCATAGCTGAAGCAGGCTCACACCTGTTTCTGTCATGTGACTGGCTGAGGTTTTGTGCTGCTGTTTCCGAGGCCTGGAGCCATGGCCTGCTCTTGTCCTAGGAGACCCTGGGGACCGTGTATATAGCCCGAAGGAGCTCACATCACACTTAGGGCCCCAGGACTGTGGCTGCGCTATGCCATCACCTCCTGCTTCAGTTTCCTTGTCTGTGACACGGTGTTACTAGAGCGCCTGCCTCACAGGTCTGTGGTTGGAATAACACTAGACCACCACACGTGTACCCCTGAGAGAGTACGCAGCACCTGAGTGCTGTGTCAGCAAGCTGTGACTGTGACCGCCACTGCAGTCACCACTGACTGCGAGAACCTGAACCCAGTGTTTGCTGCCCCCCCTCATCAATCCTTCTCACAAGTTCAGGTGTGCCCAGCTCTGCACATTTCTGACTACGGGGACAGATAAACAGAGATGGGACAGCAGGTCTCTTATCAGAAGGGCTACTGGTATGTTCCCCCCTCTGTCTGGCGAGTAGGAAAAGGTACACACTCATATGGGGATGCAGAACTTTCTCTGTTGGCTCTTCATCTGGGTCAGGTGACAGTGATACCCAGGACTCCATAGTCAGTAGATTTGAATGATGAAGAAGGCAGCGCTGACTTAAGGTATTGCTTTCGAGACCCTCAAAGAGAGGGGAGCCTGAGAAAGGGGTCTGCGGCCTGTGGGGAAGAGGAGCCACGCGTGGGACACTGTATTGGGAGCGATTCCCAGGCTCCACTGACTCAGGCCTCCTGCGTAGGAGGAGCATGAGTCTTCCTTTTATCCCTTCCTTTTCCTTCCCTTTCCTGCCCCCAACCCCAGGTCTCATTTTTTTTTCTTTTGTCGTATAACTGTTATTCTTTACTGAGAGAAGCTACTCCTTAGCCCACACATTCATGTTTCATTGTTCGGCAACACAGGTCAGTGGTGAACCTCTATGGAACTCCATCCAAAGGATTCCTTACCATTCTGAAATCACTCGGCACCTTGATACCAGTCTTCCTCGTCTCTTCCTAAATCTCTCATGAAATCTTAATTCCTATAGAAATCTGCACATACCTTCTTTCTTAGTTCAAAGCTGCACCAAACTTACAGGGTCACTGTGAATGTGCCAACAACATGAGCCCGCAGACGCTTGCCTGGACCGCCATGCCTCTGAGGTTTCGGCAATGCACCGGCAGTCACGGCAGTGAATGCCCACCACACCAACGTCCTTCCTGGGTCTCAGACCGTTGGAGAATCTGGCTGTCACTTTTCACAGTGTGCTCCTTTCTCGGGTCCTACTATTTCCAGCGCAGCCTGGCTGTCTGCTTTGACCTGGAGCATTTGCTCCATTTGTTTTCCAGATCACTACTTGAGACGTTCTCATTGTTATTATTTTTAAGCAGCATTTCACTGTGGAGCCCTGGCTGGCGCAGGGCTCACTCTCTATGTGGTTCTGACTGGCCTTGACCCACGGAGTTCTAGGTGTCTCTGCCTCCTGTATCCAATCCTGGGATTGAAGGTGTATACTACCAGGCCTGAAAGTTAAACATCTTAAAATATGTAGTTCAGTGGAATTAACTGAATTTGTATTGAGCCCCCTTGACCTCTATCTCCAGAACTTTCCACCTTTTTGAACCAGAGTCCCCACCCCATGAAGCAGTAGGTCAGTTCTTAGCCATACCATGGTACTATGAATATGATCCAAGGGTGTCCTATGAGTGACTTTTTGTGTTTGTTCTTTGGTGACTGCTGTGTCTTAGTATAATGTCAGCCATTTTCATGTATTTTTGAAAATATGTCAGAATTTCCTTCCTTCTTAATGCTGAGATAGAGACATGGCACTCCATGCATATACTTGCTACATTTAAAACATTTTTTTTATTTATTAGTATTGTCTGTGTAAGTGTGTGTGTGTGTGTGTGTGTGTGTGTGTGTGAATGTGAGTGTATGTATGTGTGCACACAGAGGCCAAAAGAAGGCATCAAGGATCTTTCTTCACCACTTTCCACCTGTTCCTTTGAGGCAGAGCTTCTCTCTGAACCCAGAACCCAAATTTTCTTAGCTAGGCTGGAAGCCAGTGAGCTCCGGTGTTTCTCAGATCTATTGGCTTTGGGGTTCTGGGTAGTCATTGTTGGTCATCAGACACAACTGAAGAGCCAACAGAGAAAGTTCTGGAACCCACACCTGAGAAGTGGGGCTTTGAGCTTGGTGTTCCCTTTCCTGTTCTCAGGCAGGATGGTCCCTTTCCCTCCCATGAGTGCCACCCATGGTTCCCTCCTGGCTCTGTTCACCTTGGGGCTGGGGTCACAGGAGTTTGTAAGGCGCTCAGTGTTTTAATGGCTTTTGCCGTGAAGAGACACCATGACCAAGGCAACTTGCAGAAGAGTTTATAGGAGGCTTACAGTTTCAGAGGGCGAGTTCGTGACCATCATGGCACTGACTATGGCAATAGATAGGCACACATGGCGCTGCAGCAACAGCTGAGATACAGCCGTGATGCAAAGAGCTAACTGGAAATGGCATGGGCTTTAGAGCCCACTCCAGCGACACCTCCAACAGGGCCACACCTCCTGATCCTTCCCAAACAGTTCCATCGTCTGGGGACCAAGCATTCAAGTATATGAGCCCGTGGTGGGGGGCATTCTCATTCATACCATCATGTTTGGCTTGCAATGTGGGTGCTGGGATCTGAACTCTGGTCCCCAGGACTTTGCTGCCAGTGCTATTACCTGCTGAGTCATCTCTCTAGGCCCCTACCATCTCTTTTGGGAGGGGATGTCTTTCAAGAGAGAAACTCAAAATAAAATATGGTGGCATACCTATAATTCCAGTCTTTTAGAGACTGAAGAAGAGCAAGAACTCAGTCAACGTGAGATGCTGTTTAAAAAAAAAATAGATTGTCAGGCACATGCTTTTAATCCCAGCACTCAGGAGGCAGAGGCAGTTGGAACTCTGTGAGTTCGAGGTCAGCCTGGTCTACAGAGCTAGTTCCAGGACAGGCTCCTAAGCTACAGAGAAACCCTGTCTTGAAAAACAAAAACAAACAAACAAACAAAAACCAAAAAAAAAAAGAAAAGAAAGAAAATAGATCAATCAAAAGGGAAACTGTAAAGGTTGCCCACAAGTTGTAACAAGGAAGTAGACACACCCCTAAGAGGGAGCTGGCACAGGTGGCATTCCCCTGAACTCTGAGAGCATGGACTGGAGGATCATGGGTGGTGGCCAGTCTTGATTGGACTGGTGAGAGGTGATCTTCACTGCTCCTCCTCCTCTACTTGAGGTGTCAGGGTTGGCAGAACAGAGACATGCAGAATGCTGGCCGACCATGTTTTCCTCCCCTGTCCCCAGGGCTTTGCCTCTATGTTCTCTGGTCGCACATCCCGGAAGTCAATCTCACATCCAGAGCACGAAGACACCATGGCAGAGGGTGAGGAGTACCGGAACCCCACGGAGGTGCAGATGAGCCAGTTGGTGCTGCCCTGCCACACTAACCACCGTGGGGAACTGAGCATCGGACAGTTGCTCAAATGGATCGACACCACGGCCTGCCTGTCAGGTGAGGCCCTGCTCCAGACTCTCCATCATGTCCCCACTGCTTGCCCTGTAGAAGCTGGGTAGGGGCCTTAGTTTTTAAAGAGGGTCCCTTTCTCTCTGATGATCACCACACTTGTCCTCCTCTGGCCTTAGTTCCTGCTGGTCCCTTGTCTCAAAGCCTCTGTTCATCTCCTAGCTGTCTGAGCAGCCTGTCCATCTCCTCTAGTCCCCTAGCCCTGGGTGTTGGTACTATGTGGATGTCCTGGTCTGCCACTACTGCAGCCTTAACCAAAGCTATTTCCCAACTGGCTGGTAAAGACCGGGCACGGACTGATTGTGAATGTGCATGATCCTTTCCATGTTGGCTTTTGTCACACCTGTGTTCTCCAGCCTTTAGGTCTAATGCGGTGACTTGGCTATACCAGCAGGGTTTTTGAGAGGCTCTAGCCACCCATGGGGTCAGGAAAAGGGCTCCACAAGGGACAAGGGACTGAGGCAGGGAAGCAGAAGTGGGAAAAGAAAGATGGTGGAGAAGCCTCTGGAAGAGGGGGACGTGTTCAGAGACCTGTGTGACATGGGGAGGCGGCTAACATTTGGCTTTCTTATTCTGAGCCAGCGGAGAGGCACGCTGGCTGTCCCTGTGTCACGGCTTCTATGGATGACATCTACTTTGACCACACCATTAGGTAAGTGGCCCTCCGACGTCACTACCCTCCTGGTCTCCCCACCTCCAGCACAGGACTTGCATCCCTATCTCCCCACCTACCAGGCTGTGTGGCTCTTGGAGCTGACTCAGTCCACGGAGGGTTTTGGAAGGTAGAACCATGGTGTCTTGGGGGTGGAGCATCTTTCTGCAAGTGCCTGAGATAGTGGTGGGTTAGGAGTGGCCTTGTTGCTTCATGCTGTCCGGGGTGGGGCCAGGGAAGTTGTCTCAGGTTTACGGTTGGGAAGAGGCCTCTGGTGGAGTATGGAGGCCCAAGGCAGAGCCAACAGCTCAGGGCTATGTGACTTTGGGTGGATCTCTCTCTCTGGACTTTTCTTTCCTTACCTGTAAAAATGGAAGGACTTGAATTTTCTGAGAAACACCTCCTTTATCTCAGACATTTCTTCATAGGTCCCTTGTCACTGGATTCTAGGGAGGCTCCCCTGACAAGGTACCAGGGCCCAGCCTGTGCTAGAAGAGTGAGCCAGCCTTGGCTCATACCCATCTCAGCTCTTACTCAAGGGATGCCTTTTCTTTTTCAGTGGCCATACAGCTTACAAAGCTTGTCGTTAGCCTGCATGCTTTACCCCTGTCTTCATCCTGCTGGGACACAAGGAGGCTGCTGAGCCCTTGGCCCGGGACAGGCCTCACATAAAGCTCTTGCTACTGCAGTGCCCACTCCTAGACATGCCAGTGTATAAGCTAAGGGCTTGTTCAGGGCTGCCTGGCACCCTGTGTGTGACTAGTAAGGAGGATGTTTGGCCAGTCCCTGTACTCAAGTCAGCCACCCGTTCACTACACACTCAGTATTGGTTAATGTGTTGGCTGGTTTTATGTCAACTTAACCCAAGCTGTCATATTCAGAAGGGACCTCAAGTGAGAAAATGCTCCCATCAGATTGACCGATGGGCAAGCCTGTGGGACATTTTCTTGATTACTGATCGATGTGGGAGGGCCCACTCTATGTAGTAGCACTTGGGCAGGTGGTCCTGGGCTGTCTAAGAAAGCAGGTTGAGCAAGCCACGGGGAGCAAACCAGCAAGTGGCGTTCCTCCACGGTCTCTGCTCCAGCTTCTGTCCCCAGAGCTCTGCCCTGACGGCTTTAGATGATGAACTGTGATGTGGGGGTGGGAGTGAAATAAACTGCTTCCTCCCAAGCTGCTTTTTGGTCATGGCGTTTCATCACAGCAGTAGAAACACTAGTAAAGATCGCTCAGAGCCTTTCTGGGTTGATGTCATGCTAGGTTTGGGGACACAATTCACCAGAACACAATCCTTATGCCCAGGACTGCCCAGTCTGCCGAGGGATAGATGGAGAAATGCCATTTACATTTGTAGTGGGAAGGTGGGGCCTGAAGTGTGGCTCAGAGCGTGTGTTCAGCATGCAGGAGCCCTGGGTTCGATCCCCATCCCCACCATAACAGAAAAGCAGCAAGTCCTACAGTGAGGATGAGCTCTGACAAGGTGTTGCTTTGTCATATACTTTACCCCTTAGCTCTGGATCAGTTTCACCTTGACAGAAAGGCTTCATCCCTGAAGGCGGTGCTGAGTTCTTATGTGCTCCAGCTCAGTTCCCTTTTTTTTTTTTTTTTTTCTTTTTTTGGGTTTTCAAGACAGGGTTTCCTCTGTGGCTTTGGAGACTGTCCTAAAAGCAGCTCTTGTAGACAAGGCTGGCCTCGAACTCACAAAGATCCGCCTGCCTCTGCCTCCCAAGTTCTGGGATTAAAGGTGTGCGCCACCACTGCCCGGCTCAGTTCCCTTCTTATCAACATCTTACTTTTATATTTTATCAATATGTTGCTTAGAATGCCTTTCTGACTTGTTAGCCTATTTAATAATGAGGTATGAGGTTTTTGTTGTTAGTATCCTCATTTTGTCGAGGAGGAAACTGAGGTAACTTGTTCAGGTCACACAGCAGGCAGAGGACCCAGGACTCACTCTCAGGCACAGAGTCTGGCCCTAGGGTCCTTGGGCGTTGGGGGCGGGGCATCAGGGCAGGTTGTCAGGGGGACTTCCTGGAGCGGTCTGAGCTGGCTGGGAGGACAATGAACTTTGTGCTTTGTGCTTTGGAGGGTAGGATGCCTTATCTGGGTCTGCTCTGGACCCTGCTGCTGATTTGGGGTCTTCTCATCAGGAAGCATGGAGAGGGCTAGGGTGCACACCAGGTGTGGGGACCAGAAGGTGACAATGAGTCTGTGCAGAGGGGTACAGAAGGAGGGTACATTGTAGGGAGCCTCGATAGAAGGTGCAGCGCCTGACCACAGGTGCAGGTTTCCGGTTTCCATTTGTTTGTTTTAAGTTTTTGCCGTTTAGAAATATTTCAAGCCAGGCATGGGGGTGCACATTTATAGTCTTAGTGTTTGGGAGGCTGAGATGGGGCCATTGATTTATATATATATATATATATATATATATATATATATATATATATATATACTAATTTAATTAAGTAAAAATAACTAAAAACACGTAACACGTCAAGGGACCCCCATGACTGTAATACCACTACTCAGGAGCTGAGGCAGGAGAATCATGAGTTCAAGGTCAGCCTCGAGTACATAATGAGACCCTGTGCCAAACAATACAATACAAAGCAAAATGTTTTCAAACATATCTGTCAGGACAAGAATTGATTTTATACAACTTTTGCATGATTACCGCGTCTGAAAAGTGGCCGATTATTTCTCCCCACCAGTTTGCAAATCAGCTCTGTGTGTGTGTGTATGTGAGAGAGAGAGAGAGAGAGAGAGAGAGAGAGAGAGAGAGAGGCCAGAGGAGGCCAGAAGCATTCGATTCTTGGAAGTGAGTTTATAGGTGGTTGTGAACCATGGGACATGGATGTTGGGAACTGAACTCAGAGTCATCTCTCTGGCCCTCTCAGGCCTCTTCTTGTACCACAGAAAGATAAGTCAATTTTAAATCTTCAATCTCCTATTCCCTGTGAGGAATCTATTCCCAGACCCCTGATGGGTGCCTGTAACCCTGACTGGCACCAATCCCTTCACATACCATGATGCCTCCTGTAGGTACACAGCCATGATGAAGCTTAATTTAAAACTAGGTACAATCAGGGTTTAACAAAGAAAGGCTATGCCAGGCCTGGGGGCACAGCCTATAACCCCAGCTATGCTGGAGCCTAGAGTGGGAAGATAATGAATTCAAGACCAGCACGAGCTACAGAGTGAGTTCAAGGCCAACCTGGGCATCTTGAAATTCGGTTTAGGGATAAAACCTGGGACCCTAAGGTCAATCTCCAGCATTGAAGTAGAGGAGATGAGAAAGATTATAATAAAACTGATCAATTATAACAATATGCTTTCACTAGAAACTTTGAAGTTATTTATCTCTTTTTAAACTTCTAAACTAATTTTATGTGTATGGATGTTTTGCCTGCATGGATGGCTGTGTACCATGTGCATGCAGTGTTCACAGAGGCCAGAAGAGGGCATCAGATCCCCTGGAACTGGAGTTTTAGGTGTTTGTGAGCTGCCATATAGATGCTGGAATTGAACCTGGGTCCTCTAGAGGAGTAGCTAGTGCAGGGTTTCTCTGTGTATCCCCTGTGGCTGTCCTGAAACTCACTCTGTAGACCAGGCTGGCCTTGAGCTCACAGAGATCCACTTGTCTCTGCCTCCCAAGTGCTGGGATCAAAGATGTGCCCCACCACCACCTGGCTCTTTTCTAACTTCCGGTCATGAAAACTTCCAAGCACATGGGAATTAGGATACGCCATTGTTGCTAGGATCCAACAGTTGCTGCTTTGCTGCCTTGCTTTAGCTACACATGAACAATTGTGTGTAAAAATACACGTTACAGAGGACACTTTTCTGCCTGAGTGCCAGTATTGCTGAAAACAGTAACAGAGGTGACATGTCCAGCTCTGTGAGAGAGGTCACTCACCAAGCCCCTGAACTGACTAGCCAGGTGCTGGGTCAAGCCACCCGCCTCTCACTGGGTTGTAGAGGTTTACACAGTCCTCATGCATCCTCAGAGCTATACACAAGGAAAGGAACTCAGAGAAGTGACGTGACTTACCCCAGGTCACCTACTGGTGGTGTGACAGTTAGAGCAGACCACGACAAACCTAGTCTTGTGTGGCCACACTATGACCTTGTGACCGGAATGCTCAGTGGAACTGATACTTCCAGGCTTTGGTGGGGGGCAGTGCACTCAGCATGTTCATGAACCAAGGTGCAGAGAGGTCAAAGGACTTCTTGAGGTCACAGTGATTGAACTGGACCAGCTTTCTAGCCTTTTGTACTCCTCATCCCCATAGCCCATCAGCTGGGCATACTCTGCTGTCTCCAGTTAGGTGCAGGGCTTTACTTGGCTCCTGGAGATCTAGGTGGACTTGTGAAGTATTCCCGAAAGGACAGGCTACAGCTGGGAAGAACTGGGCTGGTTCATTCAACACAGCTCATCTAGAATCCCGGCCTTGTTTGGCATTAGTTGGGAGACCTTGTCAGCTGGGTGACCTTGGACAAATGACTTAACATCTCTGATGTTCAACCCCCTCCAAACCCATCTTCAAGTTGGAGAGTCAAATGTGGCAATGCACACACAGCATCTTGAAGTGTTCCATTTCCCTGCCTGTTCCTCTCTCCACCCATCAGCACTTGGCAGCATTTGGTATATGTGGATGTGTTAACTTGGTCACTGTTTATGGAGGTCTCGCCCTGCCGCATGGGCTTGGTGTGTTGTTGAGCAAAACATATGCTCCCTGGGCAGGGATGTGGCTCCCAGTCGAGCTTCCCACACAGTCCCTGGCTTTATGAACCACAGAAATGAAACAGAAGAAGAGAGAACAAAAACCAGGGGCTTTGGCCCAGGTGGTTTAAGGGCTGGGGAGGTGGAGGTCACACTCTAGGAGGAATGTTGGAAGGTGAGCTCTGGACATTGTGTGGGTAGGGGAGCTGCCTCAGGGAGGGAACTGTAGGCAAAATGAGGTCATGTAGCCCCTGGACATTGTGGGCAAGTGGAGGAATCAAGATGCATAAAACAGTTCTGGAAGCTCTGATGTCACCACCAGGAACCTCCGATGTGGAATGACTGCTCATGTCTGCTGGCTTGGGGACATGGCAGATGTGAATATGTTCTGGGAGTCTCCAGTGCTCTTGTCAGTTACCCCCCTCCTCCACTATCTCTGAGGTGCTGGGTGTCTGAGGCCCCTGTCCTCTTCCTCGTTCCCTCTGGAAGGCTCACCTCCTGATTTCCTCTCCCCAGTGTCGGCCAAGTGGTGAATATCAAGGCCAAGGTGAACCGGGCCTTCAACTCCAGCATGGAGGTGTGTGTGGCTGGCCCTGCTGGGGGTGGGAAGACATTTCTAGTCCACTCTGTCTTTGAAGATCCAGACCCAAGACCCTTCACATCGTAGGACCCTGACTAGAGTTCCAAAATGGCCGACCAGAGGAGGCACACCCTAAGGCCTTCCTTGATAATATCCCATAGCCAGGAGGGAGCAGGGAGGCCAGGAAGGGGAGTAGGCTTGCTCAGGGCTTCCACTCCTGGCCAGACACGTTCAGTAGCAGGTGGTGAAAGCCGAGGAAGGCAGTACTGTATCTGGTCACGGTGCTGCAGTGGGAGAGACTGGGCCTTCTCCTATTAGCTCACCTCAGTGGCCTCTGTCCCCACATCTGTACAGTGGGTCATGGCTCCTGCATTCAGGACCCCGAAGGTTTAGTCAGTGGATAGCTTTGTGAGCTACCAAGGACTTCATTTCTTCTCCTGGGCTTCATTTAGGTCGTGTAATTTCACCTAGTGAGCCATTGATTCCTGAGAGCTCCAGATGTTGGAAGAACAGGGTCCTGACCTTGCTTCTGGGCAGCACACAGATGCCCAGTTCCTTCCGAGGCATCCCACAGATCTGTTCTTTCAGTATCAACAGTGGACAGGGGCACATTTTAACCCCTTTCAGTGATCACTCCCATTTTATAGTTGAGGACACAGACTCAGAGAAGGGAATTGCCCAAAGTTTTCCAGGGAACCAAGGGAAAGTCAGAACCAACTCCATGTCCCTGGTGTTCCACACCTGATGGCTGATATAGAAACTCCAGAGACCCAGCCTGGGTGGCTCTTTAGTCGCACCAAGCTGCGGGCCTTGAGTGGTCAGCTTCCTTCCCTCCCTCCCCCCACGCCCTTCCCCCTCCTTTCTCTCTCTCTCTCCAGGTGGGCATCCAGGTGGTCTCTGAGGACCTGTGTTCAGAGAAGCAATGGAGTGTGTGCAAGGCCCTGGCTACCTTTGTGGCTCACCGGGAGCTCTCCAAGGTAGACAGCTGCCCCCGCCGCTCTGTTATACCCACCTTTCCCCTGGTGGGACCCTCTGCAATTCTACCAAGGTGCCTCCTCCTCCTTTCCCCATCTCTCCCTGCGTATTTCAACAGGAGGAGTCTTCAGAACACTGCATTCTAAACAGATCCCTCTATGTTCTGGGCCTTTGCCCAAGAAGGGATCTTAGTGAGAATGGGGACAGGAAGGTGGGCACAGAGGGGAGAGATCTCTGCAGTGCCCTCTGCCCCCCAGAAACACATACCAGCCTCAGGCAGGCCACTGTGCTGTCTCAGGAAACTTGCCCCCCCTATCTCTTGGCCAACAGGTGAAGCTGAAGCAGGTCATACCAGTGACAGAGGAGGAGAAAACGGAACACGGGGTGGCAGCCGAGCGCCGCCGCATGCGGCTAGTCTACGCAGACACCATCAAGGACCTCCTGGCCCACTGTGCCATCCAGGATGGTGAGTGTGGGTATATGCATAAGAGGGCAGCTGGATATACGCAGGAGGGCAGCTTGTGTCCTCAAACCCCTTTTGAGTGGAAAGAGGAAGGGATTCCCTATGGACCTGTGTCCCTGGTAGCCTGAGCCTCCTCTGGCCTCCTGGGCCTCCAGATCCCTTCCAGGGAAAGCAGGTGCCAGGGCCACTCAGTCACAGCCCCGCAGCAGTGGAGATGGGGTGGGGACTTATGGAAATCCCTGTCACTCACAGTCCGTTTGGGCCTTTGGAGATGTATGGGATGAGAGTGTGGGAAGGTGGTGTTGGGCTAGGCTTTGAAGACTTAGAGGAATTTTAAAGTGTCTGTGTACAAGCGTGTATGTTTTCCTTTTTCACCCACAAAAGTAAAAAAGATGAAAAGCAAGGCTCCCTCCATCCCAGAGCTCAGGCCATCTCTCCCGAGGCAAAGACTGCTACCTGGGTTTGAATATCTTTCTAGGGAGGCTCCCTGTAGATTTAAGTAATATGTGTGTTATTTGGTTTCCTGGTTTTTTGCCCCAGAGGGAACACATAGGACACATTGTTGTGTATCTTTATCTTGATTCATTTTTTCTATAAATTTCTCTCTCTCTCTCTCTCTCTCTCTCTCTCTCTCTCTCTCTCTCTCTCTCCAGTATTTCTCTGTGTATCTCTGGCTTTCCTGGGACTCATTCACTCTGTAGACCAGGCTGACCTTGATCTCACAGAGGTCCACTTGCCTCTACCTCCCTAAGTGCTGGAATTAAAGGTGTGTGCCACTACTGCAAGGTCTTATCATTCTGGAGACTGAGGCAGGAGGGTCCTGGTTAGAGGCCAACCTTGATTACACTTGATTACAAATTCAAGGCCACCCTGGGTGACTTCGGGAGCTCTTGTCTCAAAACAAACAAACCAAACCTGAGCCTTGGCTGGGTGTAGTGGTTCACACTGGCAGTTCCAACCCAACAGTGATACAACACAGGAGGCTGAGGCAGGAGGATCACTGTAGTGATAGGAGCAGTGGGCTGCATTCCCGCCTGGATCCCGGCTAGATTACACCCATAATAATTACACGGAAATTGTATTCTTTTAAACACTGCCTGGCCCATTATATCCACTCCCTTATTGGCTAACTATCACATATTGATCTAACCCATTTCTAATAATCTGTGTATCACCACGAGATCATGGCTTCCCGGGAAAATTCTAACCCACGTCCATCTCAGAGAGGAGAGCCATGGCGTCTGCCTCATTGCCTTCTTCCCAGCATTCTGTTCTGTCTACTCCGCCCACCTAATTTTCTGCCCTTTTAAAAGGCCAAGGCAGTCTCTTTATCAACCGTTGAAAGTAACACATAGATAGATAAGCCTTCTACATCACACGAGTTCAAGACAAGCCTGGCTCTACAACAAGTTTGAGGCCAGCTTGTATGACATGAAACCCCATCTCATCCCCTTACACCTCCCTCCTCTCAAAATGCTTGCAAGAACACCTGGTGCGGTGGCTTATTCCTGTAATTCTAGCACCTGGAAGGCTGAGGCAGGAACTTGCTGTGAGTTTGTTCCTGAGCCCGTATAATGAGTTTCAGGCAAGTCTGGGTTACAGATAAGGACCCTCTCTCAAAAACCTCGGGAGAGGATCAGTGAGCTGGCTCAGCATGTAAAGGAACTTGTGCAAGCTTGATGACCTGGGTTCAGTCCCCGGAACCTACTTAAAGGTGGAAGGAGAGAACTGACTCCCCAAAATTGTCCTTTGACTTTCAAATGCATCCTGTGGCGAAAAGCAACCCCCACATCATCATCATCATCATCACCCCCACTTCTCAATAATAATAAATTAACAAAACAAAAAAAGAGCCAGACAGTGTGTCAATCACTATAATCTCAGCACTTGAGAGGCAGAGGCAGGAGGATCATCACAACTTTAAGGCCAGCCTGTTCTGCATATTGATTTCCAACCCAGCCAGAGCTACAAGGAAAGACCTTGTCTCAAAACAAACAAAAAAACACAGAGGTCCTGGTAGAGTACTTGGCTAGCATGCACACGACCTTGAGTTCAATTCCCAGCACTGAAAACAATGAAACCCACAAGCCAGGTAATCGTTGCCAAAACAGGGAGAGAACAGACAGAACTCACTGACTGCGTGCTGAGCTCTGAGTTCCCTGAACCCCGTTGTGCTGGACTTAGGGGATGCTAGAGGAAGCCCAACTCTTCCAGGTGGTTTGTTTCTATGGATCTATCCATTCCGTCACAACCCCCCCCCCCCCCCCATCCCTGCTTTCCCGACAACCTGTCTATAAGGATCAGTCTAGGTACCTCTGCCTGGCATCCAAGCCTCAGACTTGGGCTTAGGTCATTCTCAGCTTCTGCTTCCCTGTCCTGCCTTTCCTGAGACATCTCACCAAGCTGTTCACCCGAGTAAAAATCATCCCTCTGTTGGGTGCTCTGCAGAGGACTCTCTTAGGATTCTGTAGACACATAGCCCCTTACTTCCATAGCCCCTTGCTTCAGTTGGGCATGTTGGCATTATCTCCCTGGACCCCTGAGGCCCTGTTTGCACATTGACCCTTTTCTACCCTGGGTATCCTAATGCTACTCCTGCAAGGAATAGGGGCTGGTCATTAGCAAGGAGCAGGACTGTCCTGAAACTGTAGCCACTGACTGAACTGAGCACATTACAGCCACAACCATCCCTCACTGACACACAGTCCTGTCTGGCTAGGGCTGATACTTGCTCCTTACAGATGGGTGTCTGAGAACCAGTAATTTGCTTGATGCATCCAAGGTCATACAGCCTGTGTTGGGTGAGGCAGGGGTTGGCTCAGGTGTGCCTTGTCTCACAGCCCAGCCATGCTGTCTGCTTTTCTGTGGTGGGCTTATGCCCCTCCTCCCATATAACATTGGGGGCTTGCTTCCTGGGCTTTCTGTCCTGCCCTGTTCCCACAGCCAGCAAGTCCCAAAGAAAATCACACAGAGAGTCTACATTAGGTTATAAACTGATTGGCCCATTAGCTCTGGCTTTGTATTAGCTCTTATAACTTATATTAACCCATTATTCTTATCTATGTTAGCCACATGGCTCAGTACCTTTTTCTGTGATGCAGGTCACATCCTGCTTCTTTGGTGATCTGCACAGGACTGGCAAGGGAGCTTCCTGTTTCCCAGAATTCTCCTATTCTTATTGCGCCACCTGTCTTGTTTTCCCGCCTATACTTCCTGCCTGGCTATTGGCCAACCAGCACTTATTTAAAATATGATTGACAGAATACAGACAATTTTCCCATACCACTCCCATGTTCTTCTATTATTTACCCAGGGCCAGTCTAGGCTTTGTGATCACTTGATATTAAACTAATGCTCCAGGGTGGGGTCGGTGTTTTGGGCCTTCTACTGACAGTTTATCCTTAGGGATCTTCTCACCTCCCTGCCTTCCTCCCTGACCAGACCCCGACAAGGACTTCAGTAATATGGTGCCCGCAGAGAAGACCCGAGTGGAGAGCGTGGAGCTGGTGTTGCCTCCTCATGCCAACCATCAGGGCAATACGTTTGGGGGCCAGATCATGGCCTGGATGGAGAATGTGGCCACCATTGCAGCCAGGTGAGACAGCCTCTATTTGTGTCTTCTCTGCCTCTGCCAGAGGTTGTTTCCTTGGCAAGAGAAACCCTTCCTATGTCAGCACTCAAGGCTTTAGAAGCTTGGGTGTTCTGTGAGGATAACCCTGACTTTTCACACCTAGCGAGCCAGAGAGCAGCCATGTCTGTGAGCTGGCCATGCCTTCTTCTACCCACCCATTGCCACATTCCTTGTGGCCACTGGGAGTCTCCCCAGCAGACTGACTGACCCCGAAGCCTCTCCCTGATCTGGCTTTACCTGCACTTTTGCTAGTAACTGTTCCTTCAGGTTCTGTCCCTGCCCCCCCCCCCACCTTTTCTAGCCCTTCATTTTGCTCCTGGTGTGACTTCCCACTCTTCAGCATACTGCCCAGCCCCACCATAATGCTACTGTTGAACGTCCTTTTCTTTTTTTAAAAGATTTATTTATTTATTAGGTATATAGTGTTCTGCCTGCATATACGCCTGCAGGTCAGAAGAGGGCACCAGATCTCATTACGGATGACTGTGAGCCACCATCCATATGTTGCTGGGAATTGAACTCCGATCTCTGGAAGAACAACCAGTGTTCTTAACCCCTGAGCCATCTCTCCAGCCCCCACGACCCCCTACCCCTGTCCCTCTTTCTAATGGTGAAAATAATTTCTACTTCCTCCAACAGCCTCTGTGCTGGACTGGTGTTCATGGCATTCCAGTTGTCAGGGCTTAAAAAAATAGTTGTGATAACCGGAGGTCACCAGTCGCCACTCCTGTGCCTCCATGACTTTGTTGTCCTCTCAGTGTCCCCTAAGCCACCTTCCTCCTCTAGGCTAGTTTTCATAGAGCCCAGCTCAGGCCACCTCTTCTCTGCAGTTTAGTTGGAGATGGCAGCATCTGAGGAGCTCGGCCTGTGAGTGTGAGACTTGAGGAGCCCAGGGCCTGGATGATCAGGGAAAGCTTCCTGGTGGAGGAACACCTCTGGGGCCTCCCGTGACAAGAAGCCTTTTTGGGAGGAGTGGGCCTCAGGTATCAGGAGATGTAGACACTGAGGCAAAAATGCCAAGGGAAGGCGTTTGCTTCAGACCATGCTCCTGCTTTCTCCTGGCCTTGAATTCAGCTTCTTTCTAGCTGTACACAGTGGCGAGCATGCTAAGCTGGAAGCAGCTTTAGTGCCATGCACGGAGCAGAGTCATCCCTGGTTTGGGCCAGAGGACCATGCCTGTGATCCAGGATGGGTTAGGGGCTAGGGAATGGAGAAGGCTGGCCCAAGCGCCCTGATGCAATACCGACCATTTCTTCTGTCTCCCTATTTTTCCTCCCAGCCGGCTCTGTAATGCCCACCCAACACTCAAGGCCATCGAGATGTTCCATTTCCGAGGCCCATCACAGGTGGGGGACCGTCTGGTGCTCAATGCCATCGTGAATAATGCCTTCAAGCATAGGTGAGGTGTCACCATGGGTAGGACTGGTTCACCAAGGGTCGAGGGTTCTTCTTGACTCTAGAAACTACCTAAGGCAAGCCCTTCCCCAGCAGACGAGGTCTGAATTGCTGAGTTGTTCACATGACCCAAGTTTAGCTAGTATTCCCTCTTCTGGAATGTTCTATCACTCCCATTGTTGTCCAGTGGCAGTATTGGGGTTCTTCTCTAGGTTTTCCATAGGTGCTCTGTCTCCCACCAGCTGGGAAGTTGCTCTGTGCTTGTGTGCCCCATCTCTCTCCTGCTTGGCCAGAGGATTGAGCTCTAGGGGTGCACAGGTCACAAGGCCTCTTCTTGTTCGTGTTTCCCCGATCCTTTCCTACCCTTGTCCTAAACAGGTATTCTACCATCTCACCTTGGCGTGAGTTTCGATGTCTATTCTCACCACAGCTGGCTTTAAGTAAAGGCTATTTTCTGAGAACCTGGGTGCTCGTTAAGGATGAGCCATCTGGGGCTGGTCAGCCTGGGTTCAAGTTTGGCTCCACTTCTCACAGGCCGTGTGACTTTGAGCAAGTTATTTAACGTCTCTTTCTCCACATCCCCAGAGTTGGGATTATAAGGTTGGCCTCCTCCGGCCTCAGCATCATCAATGTTGAGATTACTAGCATATGCTAGCATGTCCTTCTTCATTTGTAATTTCCAAGGGCGTACTTTTAAAGAAATTATATTTATTTATTTACTTAGTGTGTGTGTGTGTGTGTGTGTGTGTGTGTGTGTGATGCCTGAGCATGCCCACGTGGAAGTCAGAAGACAATTTGTGAGGATCAGTTTTCTATTTTTGACTATGTAGGTCCCTGGGATCCAACTTGGGTCATCAGACTTGGTAGGAAATGCCTTTTCTGCTGAGCCCTATCACCTGCCGTCTGGTGACTTTTGGGTGTTTTTGCTCTATTGACTTCCTGGGCTGTCAGCCAGAAGCCCGCTGGGTAGGTCCATTCATCACTGTGTTGCACACACTAGGTTCTCTGTAAGATTACTGAAGAGGACATGTGTGGTTCTGGTCCAGTTGCCGGAAGAGCTGCAGGGGAATGTGTGTATACTCTGTGTACACCTGCCTGCCTGTGTGTGTACTTGTTAGTGTGTGAGTGTGTGATGTGAAAGGGCGTGGCGTAGGGAAGATCTGTTGAACTTGACCTTATCGTTCACTTGACCTTAGCATGGAGGTGGGCGTGTGTGTGGAGGCTTATCGCCAGGAGGCCGAGACTCAGCGGCGACACATCAACAGTGCCTTCATGACCTTTGTGGTCCTGGACAAAGATGACCAGCCTCAGAAACTGCCCTGGATTCGTCCCCAGCCTGGAGTAAGTGCCCTTGGGGATCCAAGTTCATCACTTGTCACCCTGTGACAGTCCTGTCTCTGGCTCTTCACTGAGGCACAACCAGATCAGAGCGTCCTGGTCTTGACTCAGAGATTCCCCCATGAAGCTGGGCACCTACTCTGCCTGCCAGGACTGGAACACAATGGGGTCTGGCTGATGTTGGGGGATCATGGACCTGAACAGCCCATAGTTGCAGAGACCCCTGGCTTGGGAACCCTAAGCTGATATAGGGTCTCCCCCTTGCCACATTCTTGGACATGTATTTCTGTGAGTTTCAGTTCTTATCTGTGTGATTAGTGTGTCTGCAACTTTGTGGCTGTGGGGAACCAACTGGCTACAAAGCCTTGGAGCCCTTGAGAAGTTGTGATGTCCAGCATTGTGGGGACAGGGCAGGGGCACATGGATGCCTGGGTTCTGTGTCAGTGAAGACACACACTCTTGGCTTGCTGAGGGCCAGTTGTTGTCTTTGTGTTTTTGAATGGGGCTAAGGCTTTAGAGGAGGTGGGCTCTGGGCTCTGAAGCTGGCCTTCTGAGTTCTGACCCTGGATCAACCCCATACTTCTATGACCTTGGAAACCATTCAACTCACGGGGCCTCAATTTCCTTCTGTGTAAACTGGGAGTCACAGGCTCTAGGCTCAGGAACGGGGAACAGAGAACAGATGTGGTCTCAAGCAGAGCCTTTGTGATGGCCTAGTCCCTACCAAGTGTTCAATGAATGTGACTCTGGGTACCACTCTGAGGTCCTTTCGTCATCCCAGTGTAGACTGGGGAAAACCCAGTGGCCCAGAAGGGGACCAGGGTGCCAGGGTCCCTAAAGGCTCCACGGAGACCTAAGCTACAGCTTGGGGGCCTAACACTTTTCCAGTAAGGACGCTTTGACTCCTGCTGCTGTAATGAGATCTAGGCTTCTCTTTGAACTCCAGGGTCCTCTGGACACTGGAGGCAGGGATGGCAGAGCTATGGGCTATCTGGTCATCCCACCTGAACCACACACCTGTCCCTGCTTCCTTCCTAGGAGGGCGAACGGCGATACCGAGAGGCCAGCGCCAGGAGGAAGATCCGCTTGGATAGGTGAGTGGGTCTGGATAGCGGGAGGGACATGCTCCACCGGTGACTCCAGGACATCCGAGCTTCTCCAGGGATACTCCTGGGTGCAGTACTGGGTGGTCCTCCCCCGACCCCTCTATTTTTATTTGATTTTATTTAGAGATAGGATCTCATACTGTAGCCTGGGCTGGGCTGGAACTCGCTAAGTGGTTCAGGCTGGTCTTGAACTCTTGGAAGTCCTCTGCCTCTTGCGGGCTAGCCCGTTGCGCCGCATACGCTTCTGCATTCAGTGATGTCACATGCAGCGTCTCACTGCTCTTTTATACACCAGGACACCAAGGACAGAGGGTGAGGCCTCTTGTCCTTAGGACACACAGTTGAGTGAGATCTGCTGTTGTTCCTGGCTTGATCTGGGTGTTTTTAAATCTTGTTTGGCCTGTCTGATGAAAGGGTCAAATCTCAGCACTTGCGGGGATGAGATAGAGGATTGCCACAAGGCCAAGCTGGGCTATATGGGGAGATCTGTCTCAACCAAAACAAATCAACTAGAACAAAACCCAAAAAGGTTTAGAGCACAGACCCAGTGGCTCAGACCTGCAACCTGGCGTGTCTACGTCCTCTGTAAAACTGTAGATTGGGGCTGGAAAGATGGCTCAGCAGTTAGAGCACTGGCTTCTCTTTCAGAAGACCCGGATTCAATTCCCAGCACCCATACGGCAGCTCACAGCTGTCTATAACTCCAGTTCCAGGGGATCTGATGCCCTCATACAGACAGACATGCAGGCAAAACACCAATGCGTATGAAATGAAAATAAATAAATCATTAAAAAAGTTAACAACAATAACAACAAGAGCAACGACAAAAGTGTAGATGATGTAGCTGCACCCAGTTTCATACCCTGTATTCATAAGAAAAGTCTACATTTCTGGGACATTTACCATCGGCTAAGCACTGTGTGCCTCGTGAAATCCCTCAGCGGTAAAGATGACGTGGATTCCATTCCAGAGGAGAGAATACTGAGGCGTGGGCGAAGGGGAGCCCGAGTCTTGTCCTTTTGTCCTTGCCAGTCCCCTGTGAACTGTCTAGGGTGCTAGCTGAACTCATGTTCTCAGGTGCTGTTTTCTGGGGGTCAGCATACCTAGTTGCCCTGCCAGGCAGAGTCTTCAACCCCACGGGGCTCAGCACCGTCCTGGCCTGCAGTAGGCAATGACATCTGCTAAGAACTCTGAGAGACCCAGGGTGTTCTCTTCCCTCTCAGGAAGTACCTTGTGTCCTGTAAGCAGTCGGAAATGGCCCTGTCTGTCCCCTGGGATCCTAGCAACCAGGTAAAACCCATTGTTTCCAGGCTTCCAGGGCCCCTTTCCTTTCCTCTGGTTGGAGTGACTTCGGAGGGAGACTCACAGGGCCAGGGCCATGGGAAACCCTTTTCTGCTTTGTGAATGCTATTCACGGGTGTGCCCCTGTTTTGCAAGACGGAGTAGAGGCTCTGATTGTGGCTGCTCAAGGCTGCGTGGAGGGCTTGTGGGAGCCTGGGCACCTTTCGCAGAGCCCAGTCCGTTCCCCATATCAGCACAGCCCCATCCAGGGACCCCTGGGGCAGGAGAAGGTAGCAGTTATGGGTGGTCTCTTCCAGGTGTACCTGAGCTATTACAACGTGTCCTCTCTGAAGACGCTTATGGCCAAGGACAACTGGGTGCTGTCCGTGGAGTTCGGTGAGGTAACTGATCTATTTGCCACCTTGCTTTCCTTCACATGTAAAGGTGTTTAGCCTGTATGTGTGTCTGCGCACCACACGCGTGCCCAAGGGAAGTCATAAGAGGGTGTCAGATCTCCTGGGACTGGAGTTACAGACTCTAGTGGGCTTAGAAGCTGCCACATGGGTGCTGGGAACCAAGTTCAGGTCCTCTGGAAAAGAAGCCAGTGCTCTTAACCTCTGAGTCATCTCTCCGGCTCTGATTACTGCTTCTTCTTTTTTTTTGATTTTTTTAAATATTTATTTATTGATTATGTATACAGTGTAGGCCAGAAGAGGGTACCAAGACTCATTACAGATGGCTGTGCGCCACCATATGGTTGCTGGAAATTGAACTCAGGACCTTTGAAAGAACAGGCAGAGCTCTTAACCACTGAGCCATCTCTCCAGTCCCCAAATGTGTAGCCCAGGCTGGCCTCGAACTCGTGATCCTCCTGCCTCTGCCTCCTTCAGCAAATCCTACCGGCGTGCGCCACCACTACCGGCTTTTCTTGATTTTTAAAAATAAAAATAATTTATTTAACTTTATTTTACGTGTCTTGGTATGAAGATATCAAATCCCCTGGAAATGGAGTTACAGGCAGTTGTGAGCTGCCACGTGGGAACTGGGAATTGAACCCAAGTCCTCTGGAAGAACTGCCAGTGCTCTTACCCCACTGAGCCGTCTCACCAGGCCCCATTACTGCTTCTTGAAGAAGTCTTTTTCGTCTGTCCGCACTGAGCCCTGTCAGAGGTCCATTCTCATGGGGCTGTGACTAAGTCTCAGAGAGAGTCAAGCCCTCCAGTCAGACAGCGTGTCGGTGGCAGTCCTGACCTCAGGAGCCGTTCTCTCCCAGCAGCCTAGTCTGGGGGCATGGAGCAGGAATGAGGTCACCCTCTGTGCTGCACAGGTCCGCCTGTACACCCTGGAGGAGGAGTTCCTGTCATTTCATTTGGAGATGGTGGTCCACGTGGACGCTGCCCAAGTCTTTACGCTGCTCTCGGACCTGCGCCGGAGGCCGGAGTGGGACAAGCATTACCGGTGAGTGGACAGGGGACGGCGCTAGGTGACAAGTGGGGGGGATTGCCTGCTGATGATGCTAAGCCTCCCCCATGGTGCTTTGTTCCGCTGACCTTCTGTAGGGATGGATCTGGCCATAGGATATAGTTATGTGCAGGGTGGCAGTAAAAGCCAGGGGCATGTTGAGGCCCTAGGGAAGGGACTGAGCCAGGAATTGGATGTGGAGGCCTGAGTTTATCTGTTCTAAATGGCTGTGCGACCTTAGTCAGGTCATTTCTTTTCTGAGCCTCTGTTTCCCCCCTCTTCTTAAGTTTTATTTATTCGTTTTATGTTTTTGGAGACGAGGTTTCTCTGTGTAACCCTGGCTGTCCTGGAACTTATGTGATAGACCAGGTTGACCTCAAACTCAGAGATCCATCTACCTCTGCCCCCTGAGTGCTGGGATTAAAGGTGTGCACCACTACTGCCCAGCATGTGTGGCTATTTTGCCTGCATGTTTGTCTGTGTACCACATGTGTGTCTGGTGCCCAGGAAGTCCAGAAGAAAGCATTGGATTCTCTGGGACTGGACTTACAGATGGTTGTAAGCTACTGTGTGGGTGCTGGGTTCAGTGGTGTCTACCTGTGTGCCTGTGCATGTGTGCCCATGTGCGAGCATGTGTGCCCATGTGCAAGCAAGCATGTGCTTATATGTAGCATTTGTGTTCCTGTGTCTCTATGTGTCTTAGCTTCTTTCTCCTGTCGCTGTGATAAAATACCCTGACAAAAGCATCTTAAGGGAGAACGGGTTTATTCTGCCTCAGTGTTCAAGACACAGTTCACTATGGTGGGGAAGTCAAGGCAGAGATGCTTGAAGCAGTTGTTCATAACTGCACCAATAACAAAGTAGGGCAGGACAAATGCATGCTGGCGCTCAGCTCACGGTCTCCACTTTATACCAAGGGAATGGCGCTGTCCACCGTTGAGATGGGCTTTCCTACATCAATTCATATAATAAGATAATCTCCCGCAGGCATGCCCAGAGGCCTGTCTCCCAAGTAATTCTGAATTCTGTCAAGTTGACAACACTACAAGTTTGTATACATGTATTTGCTTGAGTACATGTCTGTGTACCTATGTGTCTGCGTGTGTCTATATATGTTTGTGTATGTCTCTGTATATGCATACATATGTGTCTAGGCAGCAAGATGTCTCTGTCAGCTCTAGAGTTTTGGAAGTTGCTTACAATGCACTTCCTGTTAACTTAGGTAATATGATATCCTTCTGGGATCTTTGATCGAGTTGAAGAATAATTATAATTACAGTTTTCCTTAGTTATGATAAAAGATAAAGTAGATATAAGTATTGTAACTTTAATTCTTGCTTGATACCTGTTTTGTTATATGTAATTTTACTATGTTAAAGTTAAAACCTTTCTTTTCATTGAGACAGAAAAGGGAAGGTGATGTGGAATTCCCCTCTGTATGCTGTGAATGTTTTATTACTATTGGTTAATAAAGAAGCTTCTTTGGGCCTATGGCAGGGCACAATAAGTCAGGCGGGAAATCTGAACAGAGATATAAAGTAGATATATATAGAAAGTATAGAGTCAAGGAGACGCCATGTAGCTGCCAAAGGAAAAAAATGCCATTCGCCAGTCAGAACCTTGCTGTTAGGCCACAGTCTTGTGATTCACAGATTAATGGAGATGGGTTAATTTAAGATGTAAGAGTTAGTTAGAAATATGCCTAAGCTATTGGTCAAACAGTGTTGCAGTTAATATAGTTTCTGGGTGATTATTCGGGTCTGAGCAGTAGGGAAATGAAAGAGTAGTCTCTGTCAACACATATGCATGTACCTGTATGTCTGCTTGGGTGTGTAGGACTTTGTGTCTTCTTGTGCATGTGTGTATATGCTTGGGCACTTGCATATACTCATGCACGCATGCATCCTGGAGGGCCTCTCTGAGCTGTGCAGTGGTGAGGACCGCACTCCAGGACTGCTCAGAGGGCTGCAATCTGCAGGGTCCTGGCAGAGCTGTTCTCCCATTGAGAGCGGCAGTGGCTCCCAGGTCCTGACTCCAGCCTCCCAACAGGAGTGTGGAGCTGGTGCAGCAGGTAGACGAGGATGACGCCATCTACCACGTTGTCAGCCCTGCCTTGAGCGGCAACACCAAGCCCCAAGACTTCGTGATCCTGGCCTCTAGGCGGAAGCCTTGCGACAACGGGTGAGTGCCTGCGTTCTGAGGGGTGCAGTAGAGGTGGGGAGGCCTCACCTCCCTCTTCAGGAGGTGCAGCAACTTGGAGTCCGAGCTCTGCTGCCCACTGGTGGTTGAACTCAGACCCTACCGGGTGTGTTTGTAGGCTGCTCGTGGGGTTCACCATGACAGCCAGGGCCTATACTGCTCCCGAAAGCAAGGATGTTCCTGGTGCTTGTGACTGAGGCTACCATACTTAAAACCACAGTCAGGGCACCTTTTATATGGCTTTCCCTTGGCCTCTGCCCCCCTGGGAGCTTGTGACTGGTACCTGCAGCATGAGTGCAGCCAGGATAGGTGGCATCTCTTTTCTGGAGACAAGGACCCGAAGAATGAAAAACCTCAAGGCACACAGATCCATGGGGACACGTGAGGCCTGAACCTGATGCTGCTAACACAGATGCTCCATCTCTACAGCTGGCCCTGAGCAAGACACCAGGCTCTGAGGGAATAAACCCATGCCTGGGAACAGGTCAGGGTCCCCACCTTTTCCTGTGGATGATCTCTGACTCCTCACTCTGACTCCCCTCCAGGGACCCTTATGTCATCGCACTGAGGTCGGTCACACTGCCCACCCACGGTGAGACACCGGAGTATCAGCGTGGGGAGACTCTCTGCTCGGGCTTCTGTCTGTGGCGGGAGGGGGACCAGTTGACTAAGGTGAGGCCGGGTGTCATTTCTACCCTTTCACCTCTGGGTGAATTGAACTCTCTGCTATTAGGCTGGGACCCTTTCCACACCTGGACCCCTATAACCTCCCAGTTTTACCAGAAGTCAGAGCACCAGAGACTGAAGAGACTTCATTGAGATTTAATCAGTGTAGTCGGTGAGCGGCCGCTGCTGGGGCTTAGAAAAAGCTCTGGACATGGACTACAGAAAGCCCTGATCTGATTGAAAATTCTGCCTCATTATTTATTTACTGTGTCCCCCTTCTTGTCTGGGAGGGATTTATATGGCTCTGAGGGCCTATAAAACTCAGCAGGGTAGTCAGTGTTAATTGAAAAGGTAGGGAGGAGGTGGAGGTGGGAATGCTGCATCCTGCCCCCAGCTTGCAGCCCCTTGCAGTTCTAGATTGACTCTGCGCCTTGCCCAGCGGCTGAGTTGGCCAGCATTGCGAAGGACCTATACAAAGCTGGTCCGAGGCTTATGCCTATCCTCTTTCTGTGATGTTAAGTGGATTCAGTGATAGGCTTTGGAGACTCAATTTCTGTTCCCCGGGGCCGCTTGGCCAATAGGGAGGTGCACAATGATCTTATGGTGTGCTGTGATAGGGTAGCCAGGGTACCCCAAGTGCCTGGGGGAACCTCTCAAAGGAGACCATGCCTGTCAGTCAGGCTTTCTAACTGAGCTCTCCAAGGCCCAGGGTTGTACCTGTTGCCTTCCCCGAAGGCAGGCAAGACTGACTCCCCACCTGCCTGCTGCCCAGAAGTCCCTGAGTCTCCCCGTTCTGCTTCCCTGACTTGGCTTTTCACCCTGCAGGTTTCTTACTACAACCAGGCCACCCCTGGATTTCTCAACTATGTGACCACCAATGTGGCCGGCCTGTCCACGGCGTTCTACAATACGTTCAAGGCTTGTGAGAGTTTCCTGTTGGACAACCGGAATGACTTGGCCCCCAGCCTCCAGACCCTCTAGGCACTACCCCACCTTGCCCCAGGTCTTACACACTGCGTGGAGCAAAGCAGAGGCGTTTATTCACTCTGACTCCCCAGGGAAGCCTTCCACATTAGATGGTCCAGTCCTACTGGGTGGTCAGTTCCTGCTCACATCTGCCAGCAAGTCTTCTCGGTACTCCTGGGGTATCCTGTAATAGACTCGGGTCCTGTCCATGGCCCTGGCCACCCACAACCCAGCCCAAACGTCTGCATAGTTGTTCCCAGCCATGCTGTGGTGCACCGTGACCGTGGCTCGAGGGGAGGCTGCCAGCAGCCTGGCCACAGCTTTGGCCGAACTCCGGCCCAGTGGCCCAGCCTGCAGCTGGAAGGACACAGGTTGCCAGAGTCCCTGACACAGCTCCAGCATATCTGTGACCATCTGCTCCTGATAGCCGCTGCCCAGCGCCTCTTCAGGCCAGCCTGGTGCCACGGTCACATGAGGGAAAATTTCAGCCACAGCTGTAAGCAATTCTCTGCCGGCCACATGACCAGGGACCACAAAATTACCATGTGAGATTGTAGCCCCCACCCACACGGGCCAGGGCAGATGGCCAAGGGTGGAGAGGCGTGCCAGTGTGGTCAGGGAGGGCCGGAGAGCTGTGGGTTCCACTATGTTCACATGGATGCCCCAGGACCCGGGGTGAGCAGCCAGCTGCAGCAGACAGGACTCCAATGTCAGAACAGGAACACCTCGGGTACGCAGGATGGGCACAGGGTTCCCAGATTCAGATTCCTGGAGGCCCACATCCAGCAGGATCATGCCTTCTCTGTCTGGAAGAGGCAACAGTGTTTGGAGTACCTGTCATTATGTGATGTCATTCTCTCTTGTTAAAGGGGCAGTGGAAGTCATGGGAGCAAACAAGGAGGAAGTGGTGCCAGCCATTCTTGAATCTGATGTTCCAGACTCCAAATGCTGTGACTGGTGACTCTCAGGCAGACATGACAGATGGTTGGCTCAGTTCTTGGCCTTCCTAGTGACTCAGACCTGGGTCACCACCCCCTCTTCTAGTCACAGTGAGGCTGGGGACTCAAGGCTGCTGGCCTAAGGTCAGGAGTTCCTGCTCTTGACATTGTTCCTCCCACTTTGTATCCAGTGCAGGGCTTACCATGTTGCCATGGTAAGAGAGAACCAAGTTACCCACCCAAGCAAACGACAGACCTGTGGGTTAGCCACAAGCTTTAGGACTGCAGGCAGACTCACCAGGGACAGTAATGGCCGTTGTTCTCCCGCTGCCATTCACTTGTAGATCCAGCCACTCTACCTCTAGGCCATCACCCCTGGGCTGCTGGAGAAGAGGGATCAGGCTGCCACCTGTGTAGTAGGTTCGCTTCCGGGTGCTGTTCACTGTGGGACCCAAAATTGCCAAGGTGAAAGGACCACTATCCATGGTTACGCCCTGGCTCTCCTGCATCCTAAACCTTGTAGCTGTCAGTTCCCTCTTGGATAGATGTGAAGTCATTGTTTCCAGGTTTGACAACCAGCAAGCAGAGTTTACTGGGCCAGAAACCAAATGGAGATAGAGTGGGAGGACCCCAAAGCTGGTTTCCTCCCCTTTCCGGACACGGTTCTCTCAATAGGAGTGGGACCTGATGTGACCCCTTGGAATGGCTTAAGTGTGGGTGCTCCTAGACTAAGGGTCAAAAGGACAAGGGGTTTGCCTGGTGGCATCTGGCTCATGAATGAGTGGGCACAGAAGAGGGCTGTGGAAACACAGGAAGGAGGTTGAATTGGCTAGGGTCTGATCGATCTGTTTTTCTATAAAGTCCTTAGAGTTTCGACTTCAATTTCCCTCTCTATCAACCAGACCCCTGCTTTGTGGATAGGTGAAGCTTGGATAGCGTACTGTCCCTGGGGCAGAAGACAAGTTCTCAGAATGGTTCCTGTCTCCTGTTTCACCCAGAATTTTCCACGTCTAGACCTCCCTACCTTTGCTCCCATGCCCAACCAAGGCTCCACCTCCCCATCTAGGCCCCCTTCTTACAGGCCAGCTGCTTGAACTGTGACAGGACGGGCTCAAAGAGGTCATAGTAGATTTGGTGGGTGGCGCTGTTGTCCCGGATGAAGAGGAGATCGTCTACTGACACGGGGTCCGAGGCACCCTGCCACAGTGTCAGGCTGTACCTGGGACCAGAGAGTTGACTCAGTGCCCCCCTGGGCCCAGAAAGACCCTGGGCTCTACTCCTATGCTCAGAAAAAAATGCCACCTGAGTCCAGGAGTGGAGCATCTGCCCTCCAGCTTCCCAGTAGCCTCTCCTCTTGGGTACCATCCCTTTCAGGGGATGACGGAAAGCAGGAGTTTAGGGGATGAGAGGATGTGCCCACTCTGGATGTCTATTTCTGAATTATTCGAGCAGAAATAGAAGTTATGGAAGCAGTGAACAGTCGGCTTGTCACCAGAGGAGTGTAAGCCAGAGGCAGGGCATTTATTATAGGAGGTGGCTAGGCCACCGGGGCCAGGACAAGATGATCTTTAGAACACCTCCTGCCGTGTTCATCTTAGATCAGAGCCCAGGATAGATTTGGAAGGAGCAGAGGAAGCTTTACCTTTCAGATTGGCTCAGGAGCCAGCTGAAGTGGGGCCAAGCAGCCCGTACCATGAAAGCCCGAGCGGGGAAGGTGATCCTCTGAGGCAGTGCCCCCACCAGCTCCTGCATCTTCTCCACCATGGCTTGGGTGTAGGTGCTGCTTGGCAACTGAGGCACATACAGAGTAGTGAAGCCAGGAGAGATGGTGACCTCCGGATACTTCTCCTGGACCAGCGCCAGGAACCTGCAGCAGAGAGATCCAGCTTTGCAGACCACTCTGGTTCATTCTTGTAGGTTCTGGTCGCAGGGACTTGGGGCAGCCAGGCCAGTTGAGTCTGTGCTTGGAGGCTGGCAACACAGCTCTAAAGAACAGCAGGGGTTTGCACATCCTGCTGATGTGACCACCCTGTGCAGCCCGGGAGGTCTGGGCTCAGGGTCCTGTTCTGCCTCTGGTGGTTACTTCAGCCTTTGATTCTCAGAGACAGTGACCGTCTGCCAGGGCAGAGCCTTTTAAACGTCCCCATATGGATGAAAGGGACTGAGTGAGATTTGTGAGGTGTGCAGATCTGTAAGCTGCCAGCTGGCTTCGAGTTTCCAGAGTTTCAGATTTCTAATTATTTTTTTTATATGCGCCGAGCATGATGGCACATGCCTGTAATCTCAGCACTTGGGAGGTGGTGGTAGTAGAATCAGGCCTTCCTTCATCCCCAAGTACATAGAGAGTGCAGGGCTAGCCTGGACTATATGAAACAGTCTCAAAGCAATAAATCAAAAAGAATGATTTGAATCTTATTCTGAGTACCCTGAGGAGAGAAAACTTATTTGTCTCAGGCCCTAGACTACATTTAAAAAAATTATTTTCTTCAAGTATACCTCAATTTAAGAATCACAGAAATATTGGGTGGGTGGCTGGGCAGATAGAGGGAGAGATGCCTGCAGACCACAAAGCTTGGGGAGGGAAGGACCTGCAGGAACCCTTGCTCTGCCATTTTGTAGACTTCGGCCATTTAACCTATCGAAGATAGTTTGTATACTGACAGAATGAAGATGACTAGTTGCTACCTCATTCTCCTAAGAGTTCGGCTATATGCTGCAAGTAAATGCTTGAAACAGTGCCTGGGGCACAATAAACATGCAACAGCATGCTTCTGTCATTGTGAGTTTTCAAATCTGAAAAATGGGGAGAAAGATACTCCTAGCCAGTCATGGGCCGGATTTTCTAGAGGGTTGGGGAGGGAGCCATTTCTTTATAACATCTAGCAGGACACGTCCTGTGCATGTCACTGGGGTGGCAGAAAGGACATGGCCGTCTGCTCCCCAAGAGTCCACCGTGGAGCAGGGGTGACCAGCGTGTAAGCCAACAGAAACAGTCCAATGGAATTAGGGCTGAGGGCCAGGGGAAGTTCTTCAGAAGCCTGGGGTGCTGGGGACACTTCTGAAGGTGGCAGAGACTGGGCAAAGACTCACTGGAGAAAGGAGGAAGGCTGAGCATGCTGGTGCACACCAGATATAGCAGCGGTGGAGATGGGAGGACGATCAAGGCCAGCTTGGACTGTGTGCAGAGTCCAAGGCTGTTCAGGGCTACATGAGAACTTGTCTCATCCTCTCACTGCCATAAAAAAGGTAAGGAAAACGAAACAAAACTCAAGAAACAAACAAACAAAAAGAACCAGATCCAGCGGCCTGCAACTGTAATCCTGGTACCAGTAGACAAAGGCAACAGGAACCCCACAAGTATGAGGTAGCCTGGCCCATATAGTGGGTTCCAAGCCAGCAAGGACTACACAGAGAGATTGTGTCTTAAAAACCCACAAAGGGGCAGGCATCCCAGGCAAGAGGGAACAGAGCAGGCACATGCTCAGAGGTGGCTGGCGAGCTGGTGCTTGCCGCCAAGACTGATGAACCGAGTTAAAACCCCAGCAGCCTTCATATGGTGAAGAGAAAACCAATGCTTGAACGTCGGCCTCTGACTTCCACATTGCACCATGGCCGACAGGCACGCACACACACACACACACCCCAAAGGAAAAGGCTCAGAGCTGTGGTCTCACGGCGGGACCGACACATTCAACAACAGTCCCCCTGGCTCCCCTTTCATGCTCCGTGCTGACAGAAGAGGGCTGGAGCCAGCTGGGCAGAGGGTGAGCACTCACTGTGTAGCATTGATCTCAACTGAGATGGGCACATTGGGGCCCCTCAGGATATCAGCATTGATCCACACAGGTCTCCGAATCTTGCCAGCCTCAGTCATCTGCCGGAGGAGGTCCAAGGAGGGCCCCACAGCCTTGAGGCTCTTGAAGTCCAGTTTGATGCCTGCAGGAAAGGGGCAGGGGCTGGGAAACTGGAAGTTGACTTGCTGGGTAGGAGGAGCTGGTAAGGGTGGGGCAGGTCTTGGGAGAGAGTGGGAAGGTGGGGAGCAGATAGTGGCGGGGTGCCGGAACAGCTTTTAGGCAAGGGAAGCCAACACTTGAGAAGAAGGGGTCCCTTCTCCATCCCAAGTAGGCAGAAGCAAAAGCCAGCTGAAGGCCTGGGCTGGTTCAGGGAGATTCAGGCATGAAAAAGGGCTTCAATTTCTGGACAGGGCAGATCTGAGACCTGAACCCCAACAGCCTGTGAGGAGCCCACTAGGCCTCCAGGAAGAGACATCCGTGTAGAGAGGTTATCTAGATAGAAGAAGGGCCCAGTATAAATAACTGCCCATCTTAACTGTGGAGACAGAGCTGAGACTTCCAAGTTAGAGAAGCTGAAAGCCAAGCCAGGACAAGGGCAGCCATGGAGGGTGAAAGCAGAGAAGCCACAGGCGTGTGTGGCAGTTAGATGAGTCTGTCTGAGGAAGACAGTCTGTGGGAGAAATGGTGTGAATGTGACTGGAGTTAGAGTCAGCAGGGGATGAGGGAGATGTGGGGGATGAGGGGAACGAGGGGAATAGTGGGATGAGGGGGAGGACGGTGATGAGGAGGATGAGGGAGATGAGGAGCGTGAAGGGAATGAAGGGAATGAGGGGGGTGAGAGAGAAGTTGATGTTAGGGTGAGACCTAGATCTGGACTGGAAAGAGGAGTTGGGCTTTGAACACATTGTACCACCCAGCTCTGTGCACTCAGGGACACCGTGACCCTGTTTGGCTCTTTACATTTTACTCTTCATGTTCACACCTCTGTCTCCCCTGTGGGCTCTGCAGAGAACTCGTGGGTTGCAGCTCCTCTGGTCTACCTCACTTAGCTCCCCCTGAGCCAGAGTGATGGAAGTCTGGGGAGTGAGCAGCTCAGGGTGGGCCCTGGATTCACCTCACCCAAGAGGGATCCCTACTTAAGGGCAGGAGTCTGGGGAGTCAGTAGGGCTGGAAGAGGGATGCCTTACCCTTCTGAGAC